TGCAAATCAAAACCTCGAACTTTCACCCCCCCCCCCCCGGAACTACCTCCCGGCCAACAACTCAAAGCGATATTCATCGCTTTCCGTCATCTTCTGACATTCTTTCTGGCGTTTCTATCTGGCATATCTTCTGACTCGCGGTTGAGGTCCAGCGGGGACACTGCCGTCTGGCCGTTGAGGTCCGGCGGGGAACGCTGCCATCCGACACTCTCGGGAGAGGAGGAAGAGGAGTGGAGACGAGGAGAGGAGCAGGGCAGCTGCCATAAAATCAAACAACCCTCACCTGACGGGTGGGGAAAGAGGTAACACCATCACATCAACCCCATCTCTCAACAATTCTATGAACACCCAATCTTCCTAGCTGAAGACCTATCTTCTTCACAACTGACAAACCTTGGAGCTGAAGTATGACCTATGATCCAGTCGCATGTCCGATCTGTCCAATCCATAGGAAGAAGCTCGGTCACACAAAGAGAGTTGAGTAACACTTGTTCTGGAACTCCATCCATCCTAACATCCTAACTACCACAAGCCACATCACTTCCAGGCCAGATCACATCCGTTTCAGCGGCCCATGCCCTAGTAGCGTCCTTGTTCCTAGCAGCGCTGCTCTTTGCTCCTAGTAGCTTCTTGCTCCTAATAGCGAGGCCAGGAGCTACTAGCAGCTTCCTTGCTCCTAGCGGTAGCGAAGCCCTTTGCTCCTATTAGCCAAACACAAAGACAAACCACTGACCTGTAATACGACCCCCCCTGACCCCCCTCGGCCCCCGCGGGCGCTGCGCTCCGAAGGAGTTCCACCAGTAACGCTCCGCCACGAAGCTTTCGCCCACGGCGCGGTCCAATCTGCCGCCACCGATTCGAGTCGATGCGGCGTCGAGTCAAGTCTGGGGGGTCCCATTGGGAGCAGGGGTAACTGTTCGCTAGTAGTAACAAGTGCATCGCTTCTAGTAACAAGTGCCTTACTAGTAGTAACAAGAAGCTTGTAATTAGACAGCAGGTGTGATTCAGGAACAAGAAGCTACTAGGGCCTAGGGGCTCCTGGTCTTACTACTAGGAGCAAGGACGCTAGGGCTCCTGGCATCGCTACTAGGAGCAAGAAGCAACTAACTATAGCAACAAGAAGGTATCTTTTCAGAGATTGACAGGTTCCAAGATGATGGTCGGTCGTGAGATGAGATGACAGGCTCCCGGCTTTCGGAACGTCTTCGGACATGTCTGGATCGGATGACGATGTGGAGTTGAAGTGGTCTAAGTCACCGTGGATGATATGAGCCTGAGGATGAACTGATCATCCACCTTGCTTGTCAAGTCATCAAACATTGCACACTCCTTTTTTTGCAGAAACAGGCATGTGTCACCTTAGAATTATCCTGTGCATCACATTCGTCCCAAGTCGTTTGTGTCCACTTGCAGTTCCAGGAGCTTCAATCCATGACTCATCTTTCACCAAGTCAGAAATCGTCCAACGAAGAATCGGCAAAGAGCTCCAGCTGTGCCGACCACTCCCCGCGCCCAATCGCCGCGCCTTTCAAAGATCGCCCAGCCGCGGACCACGTGCAAGCCGCCCAGCTGCGCCGCGAGCTCCGCGTTGTGGAAGCTCTGCCTTCGCGGAAAGCAGAGCTGAGCCACTTGGAGCCACACAAGTGCAATGGAACCCTGTGAAGAGCACTCGACTAACCTAGTTAGTTCTATATACAACTTACAGGAAGGTATTTGTTCGAAATCCATCTTCAGGTTCGATGTCAGCTTGTTGGACGGTAATTTGACTGATGTGAGAAGCCACCGCTGGAGGCGGCAAACATCCCTCATCCCTGAAAAAGTCTGAAGGCGAACCGCACATCTTTGGGACCAAGAAGCTACTAGGAACAAGTGCCTCGCTACTAGTAACAAGTGCCTTACTAGTAGTAACAAGAAGCTATTAATCTAAATTCCATTCTTGGATTTGTCGCAAAGTGATTAAGTTTTGAGAACCTCTCCTTTCGAGCCATCTGGACACATTTCATGACATCATGACATCATGTCGTTCTCTTGCACATTCATATCTGCCTCATAGCGACCTTCCAGCCCCCTTGCCAAACAGGTGGCGAATTCCAAACACCTGATCTCTTCCCCCAAGTCCACAACTTTCAGCCACTTCAATCCCCAGGCTGACGCCCCAGGCGCAGGGGTCTACAGCTCTCCAAGACCTTTCGCAGCTTGTCCAGCTGCTCTGCAGTTGGAACCCCTGCCACTGCCACCTGATTGGACCCACTGGACGCACTGAGTGGGTGACCCTTCTCAGAGTGAACCCCGAAACGATCACCTTTTCTTTTGGGGTTTCGATGGTTTCGGATTTAAGTCTTTGATGGTCAAACAAACTAAAAGGACTATAGATTTTGGGAGTTCCAGGCAGGTATGTATTGCGAATCATTCAAATGCATTTCATAAACAAATTGTCATCACCCAAAAAGATCACCAAAATGCAGTCTGGTCCAAAGATGGGTGTGAAACATTGTACGGCGTGTCTCTGAAATAGATTAGATTATGCACTATATATATGTATATGTATATGTATGCAAACCCTTGCATGGACTTATGCGCAAAGCCAAGAGAAACTAAAACCACTGCCAGGTTATACAACCCTAATCAAAGTCACTCGTTAGCTACTCACATCTCTTCAAATATTGAAACACCTCCAAAACACCAGCTTTCAGCACCCCGTCCGTTCCACGCTTTTTGTCCGTCCGAGCCACGCGCTTCGCCGGGATCTTCCCTCGCTTGCCGATCAGCGACTTGAGTCCCTCGCTGGAGTAGCTCTTGGGCCACTCACGTGGGAAGCCTCGTGAGTCCCGATGCGAAGACAGGACCGTGGCGAATCGTGGCGAAGACGGATGAATGATATGATTGCGATGTTAGGAGAAAGCTTATCTTCTATCTCCTTACTTCTCCTTCATATAACGCTACTAGGAGCAAGAAGCTACTAGGGGCTCCTGGTCGAATGAAACCTGAAAAGAGAACCCGGAGGTCCAACCGACGGATGAGGGGGACAGCCGACTGCCGACGAGGCGGAGGGAAACGGAGGACTCAACCACGTGGGAGGGTAAACACCGAAAGAGTCCTGCTAGGAGCTACTAGCTTCTTGTCCCTAGTCCTATATATTGGGTACATCCCATTACCAGTAACAGTGGATTATGATGGTTAGGTTAGTAAAGGCTTTTCTCTAGAGTGATAAGTGTTTACCGACTGTTACAGGTAATGGGACATCCTCATATAGTACTTCACAGCTCTGAAGGTCTCAACATGTCTTGACTTTTGAGAGCCTTTGTTACAAGTAGCTTCTTGTTTGAGAGCCTCCTATAGACTATAGATGTTAGAGTTTTTGTCATGTTGTTTTTCCAACAAAGACACACCCAAGCACCTCCAAATTTGCTCGTGGCGGTTGAAAGAAAGCTGCTTCACTCATCTCCATCCTGATTCTCTTCTTCTTGTTACACACAAAGGATCGTCTTCATAGGCACTTTTCTTCTTACCGCAAGCAACTACTGTTCATCCATTTTTCGGGTTTACCATGAGGCTGGACTTCTCCACACTCACATCATCCGAGGTGCTTAGCGCGCCCAGCACGTCCAGGTCGTCGCTCGGATGGCTCCAAATGAAGTCCGACCTCGAAAGCCAATATCCTGAGCTCGAAAGTCCGTGCTAGGAGCAAAGGGCATCGCTACTAGTAGCTCCTGGCCTTACTACTAGGAACAAGAAGCTACTAGGAGCAAAGAGCAGCGCTACTAGTAGCTCCTGGCCTTACTACTAGGAACAAGAAGCTACTAGGAGCAAAGGGCATCGCTACTAGGAGCAAAGGACGCTACTAGTAGCTGAAAACGCGACTGCCCCACACATTCGGCTGAAGTGATTGCTCGATCGAAGCTAATGCCAAAACATTATATAGTGGTCCACAAATAGATAGAAACGGCTTCCAACACATTATTAAAGGGGATCCACTTTGCTCTCTCTATTTGGGGTCTATGTATGACTAGTGACTTATATGATTAGTCTTGCTCCAGTCTGCTCTTCTTTTCTTTCTTTCGATTGTAAGGGTGGCGGACTAAGGAATTTGACGACATGATCATGAGTTCATATATAAGTTCTACTAGGAACAAGAAGCTACTAGGAGCAAAGGGCATCGCATTGGGCTGAGCTCAACCGGGCCGTTGAAACATCGCTCCTTTCTCAACCGACCAATCTTGTCCTTTCACCTAGACTGGATTGGGATCCTGTTTTTTTTCAATCCACTATGGATTGTTTCCTGTCTCAACTGTGCGGGATCTTCTTTTTTCCTCCTAGTAGCAAGAAGCTACTAGGTGGAGGCCATCGCTATTGGGTTGGAGGCCATCGCTACGAACATAACAAGGGCATTACTGCTACGTAGTCTTGGCACAGCAAACAGCCTCGTGCCCCCGGAACCCCCGGAACGCCACGCAGTGGAACACCGCGTTTTGGCAGTCCTTCCGAACGGCCCACTGTGGCTGCAGCGCCATCCGCGTCGGGTATCGACATGGGGTCCCTACTATTTGCAAGAAGCGTCCGTGCTCCTAGTAGCGATGCCAGGAGCCCCTAGTAGCGTCCTTGCTCCTAGTATGGCCTCCAACATAAGGTGAACATGGTTGGAACTTTGTTTGCTTCGCTTCCGTACTCTTGCGAGCCACGGTGGTTTACTCACAAAGTTCCGGTCAGCAGCAAGGGAACCCAAGTTTATGCCGATGCTCATAATGCTCAAATTCTTGATCCAGATCCCTTGGAAGAGCATGGAACAACTCCTCTTGGGGGTGTTGCAAGTTGCTGCATCAAAACTGTGGAGCGATAGCCTCCTTCGTCCAAATGCCCTTGTTAGGACAACTGGGTTGGTCATCACTGGGATCCTTCCAACCTCTTGCTGAGTAGGTCTTCTTCGTGACCTGGTTCTATCCAAGAAAAGCTGCGAACAGGACGCGAAGACATGGAGAAACGGTTTTGGTCTTCAAGCACGCCACAGGTTTCACGATGGCGACTGCACAGTGGATGCACTGACTTGGGAGAGCTTACAGTTGGGAAAACACGGGTATAGACTCTAGACCTCATCAATGATGGAATCATCATTGAACTAACTTGGACATAATTTGGATTTATTTGGCGGGTTCTTTTTCGTTGCCTGCTTTCAATTGTACTTTGGAGGACAATCTTGGTCGGCGAGAGCAATCGCCAGCACCAGGTCGTGTGAGAGGTCCTCCACTTTGAGACCAAGGTATGACAAACCGCTCAGCCGTATCAAGGCCAAGATTCAAATTCTTTATGGTTCTCGCACAATTGGATGCACAAAACTGCAGATGTCTATTGAACATGCCTTTTTAATCGCGCCGTTTTGTGGTGAAGCGAGGATATCCGTCATGTACAGCAAGTCAGCTAAATGCCCCGTGGAGGTGGTTTTTTGAACTCCGATTTGGAGTCACAACTCCGATCACCCAGCTGTGACTGTTTTAGCATGACCCAGTTCGGGTGGTTTATGAACCCCTCCAGGCCTCTGACATGTGTTTGCATGCGTTCTGAGCCCTGCAATCCTCGTTTCCACACAGCCTGACACACCGAAAACGGCCCAACTCCGGACTTTTTCTCTTTTCTTCGACCTGATCCTCGCCTGGCGAAGCGCACCAACCCAAACCAACTGCTACCAGTCGAGACCGGATAAACGAGCCTTTGGACCTGACTTGAGTAGGATCGGGGCTTGGCATGAATTGACCAGGTTTTCTTCCAAAAGTGAAGAATGAGAAGTCCTTACTAGGAGCAAGGACGCTACTAGGGGCTCCTGGCATCGCTACTAGGAGCAAGGACGCTACTAGGAGCTCCTGGCCTTACTACTAGGGACAAGAGGCTACTAGTTGAATCTCTTTTTGCAACCTGAAGGGTCCACCATCTTATCTGATCCTGGTCCCTGGCCTCAAAAATGAGGCCCCATCAATTCTCCACAAATGAGGCACCAAAGGTGTTAATTGTGATACCCCCCATCCAAACATGGATAAGTGGAACATGGCGAAAGGAAGAGATTCCTCTATGAACAGGCTGTATTCCACTTCCATGATTGTTTCAGGATTGTTTCTAGGTTTCTTCCTATTGGAGGAAGTCGGGGTGCCCTTGTCACATCCACTCACTGGGATGGGACTAAAACGCACCCACCCAACTCCATGTTGACTCCTGGGAGAAACAAACTCCACGGCCACGCAGAATCTTTTCGAAAGAAGGAGTCATGTGATCATCTACTCATCGAAAGAAGGGAGTTGAACGAGCCGAGTCGAACGGCCTGAAACCGTCCTCAGCTGGAGGAGGACTTCTTGGCCTCGTGGCATCTCTTCCGGTTCGACGATGTCGTGAGAAGAAACCATGGGAAACCCTACTAGTAACAAAGGGCATCGCTACTAGCGATCGGACGCTACTAGTAACAATAAAGCTACTAAAGTAAGAGTTGTTTTTCTTCCCTTTCAATTTTTAGCAATGGCCTCCACCCTAATAGCGAGGGCCTCCTACTAGCAATGGCCTCCAACGCCGAAAAACGAAGGAGGGTGTTGCCAGGAGTCACAAAGTTTCAAAGGGAATGGTTTTTAATTAGTCCCATCCAGTGAGTGGATGTGACAAGGGCACCCCCACTGCTTGGTCGGACACGCTGGACCAGCGAAAAAATGGGAACATGAGTTTCCTCTGAAGGTGTTTTGCCAGTTGTGTTGGTTTGTAGGGCAGTTGGACTCGTGGATCTTATTTGCATGGTCGATGAACCTTTAAAACCCCTCCAGTGTTGGCCACGCCTAGTTCCCTTCTGCTTGGGGGGACCACACACTTCTACTACTATACTTACTACCTGTGGATGACTTTTGCCGTCAGCGTTGCCCAAAAAATACCTGCAGCTTCCAATCTATATAAAAGGTTAGCTGGCCTTCTTCTTCTTTTTCTTCTTGTCTTTCTTTTTTTTGTCCTGGCGCGACGGGCAGACTGAGAAAGCTCATGCTGCTGCACGCATCATTCTTCTCGACGCCCGATTGCTTTCGGTGAATTTTTGCCGTGAAGCTCCTAAGCCCTCAGAAGTGCTGTCTGTGTTTGAACGGCTTCTTGAATAGGTAACCCTCCCATGCCAAGAGCGTACCTTTTTCTTCTTTTTTTTGTCCTTCTTTTTCCTGGCAAATCAGCTGGTCTCGAGACGAAGGTCAAACACACAAGAAGCTTTTCAGATGCTTTCGCAAAGTTCCTAGGTCATCGTCCAACATTGTTTGGGATTGAACTATTGAGATACTACTAAGACTAGGAGCAAGGAAGCTATTAGGGGCCGGCTCCTGGCCTTACTACTAGTAACAAGAACGCTATTGAGATACCATCAAGACTTTCTGGTGCTTTTCCGCCCAAAGCATCGACCTGCGGCTCGTCCCGAGGCGTCCGGGCTTCTTCTTCCCGGACGAAGAACTGGAGGATGAGGAGCTGCTCATGTTCTTCCGGGCTTCCTGGTGTGGGGCCAAACAGCGACTAGCTGACTAGCCAAGTCGGAGGTGCTGAGAGGATCCTGTCAAGAATCGGCTTCCGGTGGTGGAATAAATGGTACAACTCAACGATACCGAAGGTGGAACCAAGTTGAACTGCCCATCAAAAGAGGTTGGCTTCTTGCACCCAGTTTGTTTTTGCAGGATTTTCAAGCCTAAGCATGATTCAGGGTTATCAGCAACAGCACTGTGAACAGCAACCAAAACTTACCTTGTGACATGATCATTTATCGATCAATAGCGATACCCGTTCAAAACAAAACACAAACACTCACTTCACACAATACATGCAAAACAGTAGAAACCCAGAATTTCTCTCATCCCAAAGTAGGTGCATGAAGAGCTCTTCTCCCAGGTTTCCGGGCTACAAATCTCGCCCAATTCCTCCACGATCTGAGAAGACTCTGTGTCTGAGTGTCGTTCTTGTGTGCTTCTCTTGCCTTTTGGGTGTAAATAAGAAGAGAAAACAGTCTGGTAGACCAGCTTGACGCTTCACAACATGCTTCCACGACACCTTCTGCTGCTTCATTCTCTCACCCGGTACCTTCTCAGGTCAAGGTTTGACTAACTCCACAGATTTCAATTCTAGCAGGGACTTTGACTTCTACCATCCTCAGTTTCGAAACCCATTCTACGATCGGACTCGTTCCAGCCTCAGTTACGTTAGGAAACTGGTACCATCTCCGCTTGTATCTAGGTTGGAGGCGATCGCTATTAGGTTGGAGGCCATTAGGATCACAAGCTCCATCCTTTACTAGATCTAAAGCCCCCATCTCCTGTTCCCCGCCCCACCGTGTCTCACCTCCTCAGCACGTTCCCTCATGGCGGCCTTGATAGAGGCATCCTGCCGACGGAGCAGCCATCCACGCCCAACACCGTCACATGGCGGGATGGCTGAAACAAGCCGGTGCTGCCTAAATGCGAAAAGCTTTGAAAAGGGAATCAAGAAGGCTTTCTCAAGTTGGTGGTTGCAAGTCACTTGATAAATACTAGTCAGTGGGATCAATCATTTCAAGTAAAGACAAGACAATAAACATATCTGAAACCACCCCACAGTACTTGTGGTGGCTTATGGTCTTTGATGTCCCTTCTTTTTTGGGCTGAGCTACAGCAGAAAACTCCAAAGAAGACCAGCTGACTCACTATGACTCACTCATACGTCAGGGAGCGTAGCGAGTATTCAATATGAAATCAGTCTTGTAAAGACCCACCGACCCCACCGCCGACCAAGCGCTCTCCATTGGTCGATCTCCTGCATGAAGAAGGGAATCTCATCATCCGAATCTGCCTGGGTTGACTGATGTGGTTGTGGCACCCTGGTTGACCCCTCAAAATGAGATTCCATGTTTTGGTGGGTGAAGTTTTGACCGCCATGTGCAAAACAACAGCGAGAAAAACGACCTCCCACATTGGTGAGTGAGATCCCTTGAAGTGAAACATCGCCACATCTTGAAACAAAAGACCTCTCACCACACAGCTCACGCAGCGACAGTTCCCAGGAAGCTTCCCCAGCATCGACGACACATCCATCCCATCCGATCCCCCCCCTCCCTACTAGAAACAGAGGGTATCGCTACTAGGAACAAGAACGTTACTAGTAACAAGAATGCTACGAACGGGGCTCCTGGCCTTACTACTAGGAGCAAGAACTCTACTAGGAACAAGGGCATCGCTACTAGTAACAAGTGCATCGCTACTAGGAGCAAGGAAGCTACTAGTATCGACCCCGCTCGGCGATCCAAGGCGGGTCGATCCGAAGGGAACGGAACCGGAGGCCGTGGCCGTCGATCTGGCCTCGAATCGATCGAGGCCACGCAGCTGGCAGCGGACCGGATAGTAGCGTTCTTGTTACTACCCCACCCCTCGCGCGCGCGCGCGCAAAAAGGTCCTAGTAGCTTTTTGTTTTGATTTTAAATAACTAATTACATTTAGATCAATTCTAATCCTAATTCTATTTATTTCTTGTTACTAATAGCTTCTTGTTGCCAGGAGCGCCCCTAGTAGCGTCCTTGTTACTGACTGGCCATCTGGGCATCCCTGACTTTGGCCATCTCGTCCTGACCGGACCGAGGGACACGGAGAAAGGGTTCCGGCACCTGTTACTAGTAGCGTGGCACTTGTGACTAGAAGCGATGCACTTGTTCCTAGTAGCGTCCTTGTTACTACTAGTAAGGCACCTGTTACTAGTAGCGTGGGGAAGGCTTCGATGCGACTTGGAGCGTTTCTCGTCCAACGATCTCGAGGCTCTGGTCTTTTCGAATCTCCTGAACTCGCCCAGAGGAGGTATTTCTCAATTTTAACTAAATTCTAATTAAATGCTATTGTTTCTAATAGCTTCTTGTTACGGTAAGGCACTTGTTCCTAGTAGCTTATGTAATTACTATTTCTCAAAGATTGGTTTCTTTGACCTGTTTCTTGAAGATTGCATTTCTTGTGGTGAAGGGTTTGTTTCCTAGAGTTGTTGCGTGTCTTTTGGGGTCATCTAAACCCTTCACCAGTTCACCATCCGTGAAGGGAGTGCAATGATTGAACGGAACAATGGATGTTGCCCCTAGCGATGTTTGCTCCAATGTTTCCCTGTCCTTCCTTGACTTCATACAATTAACTGACATATTCACAGTCCATCCTCTATGTCTCCATGTCTCTGCCACTTCTCGTTGCTTGCTGAAATTCTTCCCTGACTCGCAATGTTTTCTGAACCTTTTTCCATTCCATTTCCGTTGGTCATTCCGCACATGCTCGTTCGGGTGTTCCGGTATGACAAATGGGGTTCCTTCAACTTGGTGAGACCCCCGGATGATATCTGATGACTGGACTCCCACTCCCATCATGGTCGCCGATGATATCCGATGATATCCCTATGTCAAAATGAGCATTTGAAGATATACAAACATATACATATATACACATACTAGTAGCTAGGAGCTACTAAGTTGGAGGCCATCGCTAGTAGGTTGGAGGCCATCGCTACTAGTAGCTAATTTACTACTAGTAACAAGACTCCTTGACAGAATCCGAAACAACATCATTCTGGCCGGAGGTCTTGAGCAAGAAGATGATTCTTTTTGGAAGAAGCACGGAACAACCCGTACTCAGCCTTACTCTAAGCCTTGAGTGCTCTAGTGTTGGGTGAAGTAACTGGGAAGTAGGTCACTGCTGGGTGGAAGGATTAGGCGAGCTCCAATGGGTCGGTTCAGATACTGTTTCCGCGTTAACATCCCTTTTTTCACGCCATCTTCCAACAAATCAAATATGCTTCAACAGGACAAGAAACTCAACAAGTCAACAATAATCACATTCTTTGAGCCATCACCCCTGGTCAACAGTTCAAAACCGGGACCTCCAGCTTCTTCTGTTGCTTCTTCAGCTCCTGGAAGAGATGCCCAAACTCCAGGCAACCGTCCAAAACAAAGCTTGGCCGCGCCTATCTGGCAAAGAACAAGTCTAACACTACACCGGAGTTCCATCCATCACCTGTCCACATCTGTCACCCACTGCTTTCACCAAACAAGAACAAAAAACAGCAGAAATGGGCGAATCCACCAGAAAGCAGAAAGCTGCTTTCAGGCGTGAATTCCCGCTTCAGAAGCTTTTCTGAACATAAACAGGTCTTGGACCCTTGACCTCTTGGATCCTTGGACCTGCTTGGACCGAGCTCGACTCCGGAACTTTCCACACCGTCCTTGGCCCTTCTTAACAAGAAGCTACTAGTAACAAGTGCATCGCTTCTAGTAAACAAGTGCCTTACTAGTAGTAACAAGAAGCTACTAGTAACAAGAAGCTACCTGCTTGGACCTCTGAGCTCGACTCCGTCCTTGGCCCTTCGTTTGTTCAGCTTTTTCACGTGCTTCTTCTCCTCCACCTACGCGAGGAAGGAAACCATCAATGCCAACATGGTCGTCGAACACGTGGGAACGGCTAAAAATGTGAAATGGAGATCCAAGATCTCTACGCTTCCTGATATCAACATGGAGTGAGTTCACCACCTCTTTGGCATTCCGATTGAACATGGCAAAAATGCGTTCTCCACGTCAACATGACTATTTCAGGGGGTGTATCCTGAGGAAAAGAAACTGCAGCTTTGCTTTGTCCATGAAACCCCTTCCTAGACAGGCTAGGATGTATAGTGGTGATGTTGCACGCTTGAAGTACTTCTGAATACAGCATAGCCTCATTCTGGCGCAATCACGCCTAAGCATTGCTTTCCATTGGCATGTCCATATCGGAAGAGAGCATCTAGTATAAACTCGAAAGCACGACAGTTTGAGCAAAGGCATCTTCACCCTCGCAGCTGTGAGATCTGTGAGGACGTGGCTTCTATGCGTGGGTCAAGCACCACCACCCTCTTGGTGCCTGGAATGGGATCCAAAACGGTCCACTGACTTCAAAACAGGGAGCGCTCCTGTGAGTTCACTAAGACTCAACTCCCAGGCCTCATTGGCATCCTCTTCATAGGACCTCTTCCCTCCTGCATGGGCACATGCCGATGAGTTCGGCCGCAAAAGGCGTGGTTCGATTGAAGGCCATGCGACGCGAGTCCGTTTCGTCAAGTACATTTCGCAAGTTCTCCTCATCAACTGACGGAGTCTCCTCATGAGCATCAGTAGACATGGCAGCCTGTTTTTGTTCCATCCCTGATGAGATCTCCTCGTCCATTGATGATCTCGTAGTACATATCCTTCACCTCCGCACATTTCAGCATGAAGCAGAGGGTGGGGAGAGTCTTCAACAACACTCAAGTCAGATGCGATCAGAAAAACGCGGGCATCAAAACAATTTCCGTCTCTGCTGGTAGTTTGGATCGTAAGACATGTTGATATTTTTTGCCTGTCTCCACGGAGGTGATTAAACTTGTAAAGACATGCACCTATTGGCTAGGAGCAAGGACGCTACTAGGGGCTCCTGGCCGTACTACTAGGAGCAAGGACGCTACCATTGGCTGACATGCGCTAGTTCGATTTAAGGATGTATGATATTGCAGTATGGACCTGTATGGTTCTCATGCGTGGTCAGTGCGACAACCCCTTGGTCCATGTTCCACGATTGCGGCATTCGGAAGCTTGGCTTGGAAAACTTGTCAACGATGAGCATCAGCACTTCCTCCAACCTAATGGCGATGGCCTCCACCCTAACAGCGATGGCCTCCAACCTACTAGCAATGGCCCCCAACCTAATAGCAAGTATAAGAATCAGCACTTCTTTCAACTCCATCAACTCAAAAATGCGTCCGATCAGAAAAGAGGTTGGAAATTCACCCTGTTGTGGGAACTTGGCTGTAGGCAGCCCAGACATTCCAGTGGGGTTGATCTTAGTATGACAACGTATGACAAAGTCTTTGCGGTCAATTCACGTAAGCAAAAAGGCTTCAAGTACCTTCTAGCGAGAGCACGTAGATCCAAACTCGGCTTTGTACTACCAATAAGAGGTTCTGTTTATCAGGTTGGAGGCCATCGCTAATAGGTTGGAGGCCATCGCCAGTAGTTGGAGGCCATTGCTATTGGGGTGGAGACCATCGCTAGTAGCTGGAGGCCATCGCTAGTAGGTCGGAGGCCATTGTTAGTAGGTTGGAGGCCATTTTACACTCCAAATGGGAGGGTTTTATACAATTACATACGCCAGGAGTCACAAAGGGGTTCCGAACTTGGAGGAAGTTGGTGGCCTTGTCACATCCACTCACTGGGATGGGACGAAGCAAACCACCCAACTCCGTGTGACTCCTGGCGAATTAAGATTCTACATGCTATTAGTAACAAGAAGCTACTAGGGGCTCCTGGCATCGCTACTAGGAGCAAGAAGCTATTAGGTTGGAGGCCATCGCTATTCGGGGTCTCTTCCCGCCTTTTGCCCGATCGCATTGTCGCCCTCGTCGTCCAGCGACGCCATGGCACTGAAATCGAGGAACTCGGAGCGTAGGGTTTCAATACCCGAACAGCGGACTTCCATCTGAACCCGAAACAGCCCATCTTGTGGACCTTAGGGTGCAACCACCGAGGAACAAACACCTCATCCTCATTGCTGGAGTACCGCACCGAAGGAAACTGAACGAAACTGGTAGTGGTGGCAAAGACCTCTGCCAATCTTACAACAGTGAGCCTCTCCAAAGTCATCGCGTTCGCCAATGTCTGCATAATATTATATGTCTGCATCAAAAGGATCTAAATGGGTCACATCATACAGTATATCTTAGTAAAGGCTGGGATCAAACAAAAGCCTCTTTGTGCCTTCGTTCGGTCACTCCACGAGATGTTTTTGAAGTCGCCCAACGTGGGAAAGGGGAGGGAATGTCTGAAGATCTTGTAAGGCAAACCATCATCAAAAGAAATCTAGGACTATCATATTGAACTGTTTTTGCGCAATGATCTAGGCAAGCTCGCGAAATGTTGAATCAACGATCAGGGACAATCCAGCACGCGTGGATTCCATGTCCATCTATATATGTCTGTATCGCTTGTAGTAACAAAAAGCTAGTAGAAACAAGTGCATCGCTACTAGTAACAAGTGCCTTACTAGTAGTAACAAGAAGCTAGTAGAAACTTTGAGCCCAGGCCAGCCATTCACATTTCAGACCCACAGGTCTGCCGAGTTGCTCGTTCTGTGCACACGGAGTTGCCAAGGGGTCGATGGGAAGCATTTCACCATTTCAGAAATCGAGTTCAGCTGGACAAACTGCTGTGATATGAGACAGTCTCAACCGGGTTGGATGATTCCGTTAATCTCAGTGATTCTCTTCTTGTTGACCTCCGCAATCCACCGTGAAATCCAAAGGGAGTACGAACTGGGGCACTGTGGGCACTCCGTAATCTGAAGGATCACTTCCTCTTAGTCTGTCGGAGCACGGATTCTGCTTCTGATTATCTACTTGTCAATGGAATAACTGGATCGGCCATCCTTAGGGCCTTCCCATCCAATCTTTCCATGCAGGGCCATCCATGACCTACAGCCCCTTGTCCAGGATTCCTGGGCCTCTTCAGGGATGTTTGGAAGAAAACTCCTGAAGCAATCAACTCAAAGTAGGACCCAACCGTTCGGATGGTTTTCAGCATGATCTTCGCACCTCCTCCCTCCGATCCCCTTTCACGCCCGGAGGAGACGGTGGCTGAGCCACAAGAAACGGGTCGCTGTGAAACGCGCGAACCTTGCCGCACGGGGCCGGCCCTGCCCGGACCATTGTCCGGAAAGCTGGTGCCAGCTTGGCTTGGGATTGGAATGAACATCTTGTCCACGTTTATCTTTCGTTGTCAAGACTATTTTCATCGGTTACCTCTGTATTAGTTTGAGAGGATAAATGAACAACAAACACAATATAATCAATGGCAAATATGGTATAATTAATCCCTGATGGATATTATTCCTCTAGCAAAAGTCCTGTAAGTTAAAGAACATAAGTTGTGTCCTTCTTGTCTCAGGTTCAAAGCTCTGTATGCAAAAACACATTGCGAAACCATCGCAGCATCCAGCCAAGGTCGAACCTCTTCTCAAAGGTCAAAGTCAATCCTCGGCAGGTCTGTCTTGCCCGAGCGCTCTCGATGTTTCTTTTCAATTTATTGCTTGCATATAAGACTTATCTAAATATTGTAAACAACAACTTTGAACTCAAGGGATATAGAAAGCACTCAAACGAGTAAACAATCTCCAAACAAGCGGTAGAGAAGTCGGGTATGTCCTTGTCACAATTTTGACGCAAAAGAACCGATTTTCCAAGCACTAAATTTGGGATGTGATCTTTGGGATACTCATGCCACCCCGATACAGTGCTTCCGTAGATGGCACTGGCACCCCGTTTGATGTCTGAGACGGATGGGGGTGCATATAAGCCACTGACCTTGGGGTAATTTGTGCCTACTCTGAAACCACCAGATTCAGGAATTGCCGCATCGCTACTAGTAACAAGGGCATTACTACTAGTAGCAAGAAGCTACTAGTGACAAGGGCATCGCTATTAGTAACAAATTCAGGAATTGCCACACCAAGCTACTCAATCTTCTGCCAGTGACATTTCCTCTGCGCTTCTGCCCGCAGTTCAGGATTGTCACAGCCTAGCTGGTCGTCTATTTAGCGGTCTCTACCCGGGCGAAGCTCGATGGTTTCATAGATCATACAGTAGGGCGTGCGTGTTTGAGACAAAACCCGACTAGCAAGAAGCAGGCCATTACTACAAGTAACTAAGAAACTACTAGTAGCTCCAGGCATCGCTACTAGGAACCCTGGCATCATTTGTGTTTGATCGAATTAGAGACCAGTAGACGCCGCAGAAGGTGAGCTTGATCTGAAGGATATTGACGACTTGAGCACCGCGTTCGCTCATGTTGGCCTCCACCCTAATAGCGATCGCCTCCACACCCTAGTAGCAATGGCCTACAACCTAGTAGGGTCCTTGTTACTAATTGCCAAGATTCACAAAAAAGAACAAACACCCCACACACAAAACAACTTTTGATGCGACGGATGTGGTCGCTGGGATTGGCTGATGAACGTCTGCAGGGGTTCTCATATTTTTCTCATAGCCCAGGATAGAACACTTCGGCGTTTTCAAGACGTAGGCCGTAGGCCCCAGAAATGGCCCTTCTCCCGCAGCGTCTGGGTGGATTTTTGTCGGATTGACCTCTGAGTTCACGGGGGATGGACAACTGAATCAGGAAAACAGTGGTTGATCTGGAGCCTTCACCTACGTAACATAGGTGACCCCTGGACAAAAAGACTCACGCCACTTGGACCAACGAACACCTCCTTGGCCGATACTGTTGGCATCTGAGATGCCCTTTTCATCCCTTTTTCCATGACAAGAGGAGCTCGCCAAGACACATAAACCGGCGAGAACAATTTGCCCCCAGTACTGCATCTGAGCATTATCTCCTCAGATCGGTTGAAGCTGGAACAAGCGGCAAGCTGCGCAGATCGGTGAGTTGCATACCTATGCATCCAGAAATTCTTCAACAAAGAACCAGCAAATGAATATTGACTGAAATGCTGTGTTCCCCTAAATGTTTCTCAAACCAATATGCTGTTGATTGCTATTGCCATTTAGGAGCAAGCAAAGCAAAGGGGCTCAAGTTCCATCCAAATTCCTGTCTGCTCCGAAGTAAAGTGAACATGGTTCTGCGCCATCCTCCCAATACACATCGGCACTTGTCTTGAACAAGAGCTCCATCCTATATTGATTGGTCTATGTATCTTCATTGGTCAACTAAGTTGCGCGGAAAAGAAGGAACCCACATGAACCTCCAACATCTCAGGAGTGTTTTAAACTAGGGAGACCTCCCAGTTCAACGACTCCGAAGGGAAATAGACGACAACCCATTGGCTGGGGGTTTCCCTAAAATAACACACCCATGTGATTTGGAGCGCTCTCTGTGACCCGAAGACACACCCGAAACCAGACCTTCCGAGACTCGCACCAGTCAAGGGGTGGTCTAAAAGAGGGACACCATGGGACACCTCTATTTTTGCCACAAACACCGCACCGTATTGCACAACAAGGTTGGTGGTAGTGGTAGTCTGAAAAAGGCTTCTGTTGGTGGTGGTTTGGAACATTTTGCCACACACACACACTGGTTCGTTTGTACCTGTCTCTGCAATATTAGTGTGTGCGACCTGGTTCTATCCACCACTCGGGCCCTCCGCGCACCGACGCCGTCTTTCTGCTTTAAAGCAACGATGATCGGCGAGCGCCCCGATGATCGCGGCAATGCCACCATTCTTGGCCACCTGGAAGGTGGGATGAGTGCGTGCGTGTGTGCGTTTTCACTAACGGCTAGTAGCTTCTTGTTCCTAGTAGTAAGGCCAGGAGCCCCTAGTAGCGTCCTTGCTCTTAGTAGCGATGCCAGGAGCCCCGTTCGTAGCTTCTTGTTCCCGAAAGATTTGCCCCAAGTACCTGCCTAGGGCCTTCCGGGGGCGGTTTCACTGGGGCCCGGTGCCGGGGTAGACTGTAGGGAGGACCAAGGGAACTTCTGGCCCGCAGGTGGATGCTCCCTTCGTCATTTGGGTTTCGCGGCGTTTCGAAGAAACCGTTGGGTTTCATGTTCCAGGTGTCTGTTTCATGTTTCTGCCAAAAAAAGCAAAGCCTTCCAAAACGCAATTATTGTTACATTTCAAGATAAAGACCTGGTTGGGGTCAGGAGAACTGTTTGCTTTATATACATGGTCTTGTGGCCCTGCTTTCTTCGTTTGGTCTTTGGATTGCTTTCTTCTGTTAATTGTAATATCAATTTGGCGTTGTTCTTGCACCTGGCTATGTACTTCTTGAAACAAACACAAGAAGAAAAACACAAGTGGCACGTCATCGTGAAAGACTTTATGACTTTTCCTCTTTACAGTGCCAAGTTGAAATTAAAGCTTACACGGCCTGCTGGGGGCACCTTGTGTTCACACATGCCAAAAGTGATTTGTCTTCCAAACCTCCGTTGTTGCCAAACACTCCACAGCCTCCGTGACCGTTGGATGGTCCTCCTTTTTCGCCGAAAGGAACCCCCAAAGGATCCGACGCGGAAGTCCCTCCGAGCGGCCGCTTGGCAAAGCTCGGCGCTCGGGGACTCCAGTAACGCTTGCAAGGCAGCCAAGCATGCCTCACGGAGATTCGGAGAGGCCCCGCCAGTTTTTGGGTCGTTTTTGGGGAAAACGACGGCTGACGGGCTGAAGCAACAAACAGCAAAATGCATGTGTCGCTGTGTTCTAGTATAGATAAGCTCTTTGTGGTGTCTATCAGGTATATTCAATCAGGGTATGTTGCCTCTTTGTGTCTTAACAATTTGATGACATTTGAGGAAAGATCTGTGGGTGTGACCTGGAAAAATCTAGGACCGTCCATCGTTTGTCGGATCATGTTGCCCCTCCTCCTATGCATAGTCCCTACAGGGATCCGCTTACCTTGTCAGAAGGTACTTGGACCCTAGAATCCTACATAAAAGTGTCTCCAATCACCCTCTCCAGATCCATAAGGAATATATGATAAGCAACTAGAAAAAGTCTCTTGCATAAGCATCCCCTTCAATGGATTTCTTCACTTCGGCTGTCGTTCTTTTCCATAAATCATTGAAGCATGAACGCACACCAGTTGGTGAAACACTTGAGCCATGGTCAGTGATCTACCCTAAGACTACTAGTAGCAAGGACGCGAACCGATCGGGGCTCCTGGCCATCGCTACGAACGGAGCACGGATGCTACGAACGGGGCAGAAGCTACCCCTACACCAGCACCGGCGATCGCCGCGCCGCGCATCCGGCGGATCCGGTGGCCTGCTGCACGCCCGCGTCCCCGGGACCCCGGAAGGTCTTTAAGGAAGTGACCTGAGGAACGGCCAAGGATGGATCTACATGCACTTGCTATCCTCGATTCTTTTCGAGGTTCGTTTCTTGTCGATACTGTTGGTGAGTGATATAGAATCTGGATGTATCTGGTGTGTGAGGGTGTCAGCTTTTTGTGTTTCCTTCCTGTCGAGAAACAAATACAGGAATTACAAGAGGTGGAACCTCCATGGAGGACCTCAAAGGCGCAAACATGTTCCTTTGAGACATTGCTATAGGCCAGCCTGAGTGTAGCCCCTATATAGTAGCGTCCTTGCTCCGTTCGTAGCGATGCCCGAAGTGCGTCCGTGCGGTTCGCGTCCGAACACTCTCCGACCTCGGAGGGTCCCGGAGACCAAGGGACGGCGAGTTGGCCGGCACCATCCTGAATGACGAACTGCCTTGCTTCCTGCACTCGGTAACCACAGGGTGTGAAGAGACGGACACTCCTTCTCAAAAAGAGACGGTAGAAAAGTATGTCGATTCAGTTCTTACAGGTTCACTACTCTAGAGAAACACCACGAAGATGTTGACATGTTATGGTATACTCTTCCATCAGCACGGTGCAACCATGTGCAACCTGTGATACATCTTAGTAACATCGATCTAGCAGCTCATCCTTACTCTATAGTAAGTACATATAGAGGTCACCTGTCCATTCCCGTCTCCGGATCGCTGCGGGTCTCCTCGTCCATCAAGGCAATGAGTTCGAAGATCTGCCACACCGCCTGGTGCACCGTGGCCTCGGCACCATGCGCCTCCAGCAACGCCTGCGCAGGAACGTCGGACCGAGCGGAGGTCCGGTCGGGAGCGAAAGCGATCTCCCGCGCTCGGTGAGTGGCGGATGGAATGGTGAAGCATGATATGAAACGGGTGGAAATGGACATGTCAACGAGTGCAATGCAAAAAGCGTGATCAACGTGATAACTATGTTCTCTTTGTGCACATATATATAGATAGATAGATAGATAGATGGATGTTGCCGAGCTCGGTGCCTCTATACCCTTGAGCATCCAACTATCCACCAGGATGCTCATCCCTCTTCGAACCCAGCATCCATGCCATTCTTTTTGCGAAGAATCACACGTGGAAGACACCTGAATGAATCACTTACACTCATTCACGAATGGTTCAACCATTTTCAATCTAAATGAACCTTCCCAACAACTCTTCCCAAAAAGTCCCAGAAGTCTCCAAGTTGTTGTGGATCTGTCACCCCCCCCTTCCATTCCAAACCCTTCTCCCATCTTCCACACCTTCGCTTTCGACCCTCCAAACTCTCCCCAAGTCCCTTGCAATATGCCAGAGTGACCTTCAACACTGACCAAGCATCTTGCTCGTAGAGCTCATGGGCTGCCTGGAGTGCACAGTCGACAGTGCAAACTGCAGCACTGCAGCATTTTATTCAGATCAGACGTCTTTCTATCTGTCTGTGAGCTACTCATAGGCGAAAAAATGGAGAGAAATGGACTCACAAGTAACAAGAAGCTACGAACGGGGCTCCTGGCCTTACTACTAGGAGCAAGGACGCTACGAACGGGGCTCCTGGCATCGCTACTAGTAGCATTCTTACTAATTCAAATTTAATTCTAACAGCTTCTTGTTACTACTAGTAAGGCACTTGTTACTACTAGCGATGCACCTGTTACTAGTAGCATTCTTACTACTAGTAACAAGAAGCTACTAGTAACAAGTGCATCGCTTCTAGTAACAAGTGCCTTACTAGTAGTAACATTAAACATGCCATTTGATCTTCTTCACCCTCGCGGAGCCTGGTCGCCGCTTGACGAACGGTCGCTCGCCCGCATTGAATCAACTCGCACGTGGTCTCCACACGTCTCGGCTTCGGATGGTTTGCGTGCGCCCGGGCACTAGTAGCGTCCTCTTGTTCCTAGTAGGGAGGCCAGGAGCCCCGTTCGTAGCGTCCTTGCTACGAATGCCCTTTGTTCCGTTCGTAGCTTCCTTGTTCCAGGTATCGCGCGCCTGGGCACTGAGATGTTGAAGGATTCGGCAGAAGAGGATCTGCAGCTCCTCGGCCGTCTGAGCGTTCGCCGTCTGACACGAAAATGGGAGGGTTGGGAGGGAAAACAACAGAATTCATCCAAATCCAGCCAGTTCGCCGCTCATCTAACTTCCATCCGCTAAGGGTCTGTGAGAAAAGTAAGACATATGGGAACTTCCGCAAGATCCATTTAAGCATCCCATCTACCTTGAGTTGTTGAATTTCAAGCCATTCATCGATCAATGGGAAAGCTGTTGCTCCGAAGGTATCACCCACACCCGCCCAACATGAGCAATTCCCGCTTCAATCGACTTTGAACTTCCCACCATGGCTCTTTGTCTTGGAGATGTTTCCTCAGCAGAAGAGCCCAAGGTGAGAGAGAGAGAGAGAGCCGAATGAGATTCATCAACAGTAATTCGTTTGTTTTCCCATCAAAAACACAAGTGAAAATGAGCTTGTCACAAGAAACTCTCATTTTGTCTATCTATTGAATCTATTGTCTGGAAGCAGCCATCAAGCAACCATCAATGGCAACCTTTGAGGGTCCGTAAAGGGTCTCTATGACATCCACTACCCAGGGGGTTGCATGAGTCATATGGACTCTCAGGGATCTCTATTATATATATATATATATATGGGGGTTATATATGATACCCATGCAAGGCTGTTGCCTCTATTCCAACAATCTGCAGGACACAGATTCTGTTCGATCGGAACACCAGATATCAGCTCAAGTGGATGAAGCTACACCCTCCCAATGGATCCACTGCCCCAACGGGATGACTTTGATGTAGGGCGCGTTTTTAAAGGGTCTACGGTGGCAGTGGATCCCTAGCGCCCAAGTACCTTCGAAACTCACATGTTAACCGAACATCCGCTCCTGAGGAAGGTCGGGGTTTCCATTTTTCCATGTGTCGCTTCATCACGTCCCAGCTCGCAAACTCTCTTCCATCCAAATACAGTCATCCTGCATCCTGCACTAGATAGAGGATCGACAAATGAGAAACAATGGGAAACTGGTCATGTTTTTGGATTGGTTCATATTCTATCATATCTATCTAATTACTCCAGGATCATTATACATCGGCGCACCAACGACTCTCCGATCTCCTCCGTGAAGCCACTTCCCACTCTCATCTGCCCAACCCACCAAAAGCAGCCTCCGACTGACTCACCCCCCTCAGTTAAAGGTTCGCCTTCTTCCACTATGGGAAAACCACTCCCCCAAACAGTTTAAAGATGTTTAAAGGTTCTCCAATGAGGTAGACACATCTCCCAATTGAGAACCTTCGTGACCAAACCACCCACAACGTCTCGCCAACCCATCAACCGCCCCGACCAGATTTTCGCGATTTTCGCGACCTGCTCAACTACTAGTAGCGATGGTCTTGTTGCTAGGTAGCATTCTTGTTCCTAGCAGTAAGGCCAGGAGCCCCTAGTAGCGTCCTTGCTCCTAGTAGCGATGCACTTGTTACTAGTAGCGATGCCCTTGTTCCTAGCAGCTTCTTGTTCCTAACCCACCCAACCAACCTGCTACCTCCGAAGGTGCATCGCGCTGCGCCTCGATCCGCTGCGCTCAATCGAGAAGCTTCATGCCAGCCAACAGGATCTGGAGTCCGCCCAGTTCCAACAGCCGCTGTTGGCTCACCACACTTCGAAAGGTCGCCATTTCGACCAACTCTCCAGCTGCGCGGCCTCGAGTTGGTGTCGGTCGCCTTTTCGAGACCGCCGTGGGTCTGAACGGAGCAACAAAAAGAGTGCCACGCTAGTAGTAACAGGTGCCTTACTAGTAGTAACAAGAAGCTATTAATCTAAGTTAAAACTTAATTCTAATAGCTTCTTGTTACTACTAGTCAGGCACTTGTTACTACAAGCGATGCACTTGTTCCAAAGTGCACATGAACCGCTCCTCAAAACAGTAAAAACATGGGAGCTTGTGCCCACTCGCCCGCACTCTCCCCAGGCTTCGCAGGAGATTTGCGGAAGCAACTTTGGGCGATGTTCGTCGCACAAGACATTTCATGGTGATCAAGTTCCATGATGCCAAGAGAGGTTGAGAGACCTGACATGGGATAGGCAATAGGGCTGCTCAACCTCTGGTTTCCGAGCTTTCGCACGCGTCGTTCACGTGTTTTCCTGGTCCAAGAGGCATTGCTCTCGATCCTCGGACATGGAGGCCAAGGTCTGCAGAGCCTGGTCCAAGTCCTGGTCCGCCACGGCGTCCCACGGTTCCCGGTTCCCGGGGAGGGACTGGACTGGTGGGACCGGACTGGGAGATCAAGGATTGAAGGACATGTTTCTAATAGCAACCATTGTTACTACTAGTAAGGCACTTGTTACTACTAGCAATGCACTTGTTCCTAGTAGCTTATTGTTTCACATTTCATGGATTGAATGGACCAACTTTCTCTGGGGTGACCTTTTTGGATGATGTTCAAGTAACATATTTGGTTCATAGGGGAATTGGTGATCAACAATAATTTCCCAATGGGATGACTGTATCATGGATGGTTATCCTTCTTGCTCATGGATGTGTGCTTTACCACCCCTTCGATGGCAAGCAAACCAAGCAAGGGATCAAAACAGCGCATATCTATAGGCTACAGTCGCTGCTGCCGATCGACGTTGGAGACATCCACAACATCCCGCCTTTGGCTGAACACAAGTTGTTTCTAATAGCTTCTTGTTACTACTAGTAAGGCACTTTGCTCCTAGAAGCGATGCACTTGTTCCTAGTAGCAACTATTAACACTTTCCATCTCTGGGAATATCCTTTCAACATATAGGGCCAACAAAAAGGGGTAAGCAACCCCGAATGACCGGAAGCTGGGTTGAGTGAGGCACAAAGGCACAAAAAGGTACCCAGGCTGCTGTGGGGTCTTCTGATTGCAAGTGGTTCATGAAATGGTCTCTGTTTGAACATTTCGAGTTGCACAAGTCATAGCCATACCATACATGAGTCACAAACAACGCAATGGCAAACGCAATGGCCAGCACACCAAAGCGATCCTGGAGGCGCTGAGAAAACAATCTTCGGTTCCCTCAAAAGGTGTGAAAACTAGCCTAGTAGCCATGGCCTCCCACCCACTAGCGATGGCTGTTCGCAAGTTCTTCACCGACATCCACCAGTCTCGTCCGATGGCTACCATCTTCCTCTTCCAAAACACCACTCTGTGATCACGCCATGTGTTTCTTCCCTGCCCAAAAAAGCCACTGCAGTCCGCCGTCCTCCTTCGATCGGATGGAATCCTCCAGTATGCCACTACCAGCCATCCACACGGCTCGGTCTACTCCATCGATCCATGCCGAAGGAGCGAAAGAGCTCGAGCTTGTCGTTGACCCGAGGGTGGTCGTGGGACTGGTCGGGACTGGGACGGGACTGGGACTTGGTTCGGAATAGACATCTATAGTTTTTTCCGTTATAGTCTCTATCAGAGCCCGATCTCTTCTCTCCTTTCCATACCAAGAGTTGTGCAATCAATTCTGAATCTTTAGGAGCTTTTGCCAGGTGTCATCCTCTTCTACGGATTTTGGACTCAAGCCTTGAGCCTGACCGCATTGCTGGCGGCTGACCGCAATTTGCAGGATTCTTATCTATAGAGGGTAGATTCCCTGGATTTGTAGGCACATGTTGACATCAGCGTACGTCAATTGATGCTCTCTTACAATGACATCATCTTTACATTTGTTGCGGGCCTGAAACAAACAATCATCTGCGAATGTAGGCAACCTGTCTGAGCTTCAGTCTTTGTCTCTCCAATGCCACTTGTCCCCCATGTCAGCATGTGCGCATGAGATTGAACGGCTGAATCACATGATCTGCGGAACGAATAGTAAGAACCAAGCTTGGGGATTGTGCCATCTACCCTGAAACGGCTGTGATAACTCAATACACAGCTGACACAGCTACACGTGAGTTCACCCAGGTGATGAGGACATCCCATGTTAATTAGCACAAAGAACATTCAGCGAACTCATCCGATTCTTGCACTGACATACTCACGATCCTCTTCACTAAATACCTCATGCAAAGGACACAACATGTATGAATTCAACTGATCCATCGGATTGAATGCAATGTCTCACTGATCCTACTGAATCGAATCATGTTCAGCGAGACATTGAATGCCATGTCTACCTCAAGGGGCCAGTAGGATAACTCTGAAGATAGTTTCAGGGGTTCCAAGATGTTCCAAGACATCAAACATGTTGACATGAACATGACCCCTTGCAGTACATGATGTATCCCCAGCAAAGAGATTCTTTGGGGAGTGGATAGTGGTCCTTGCAAGACTACTGCCATGGGAATTCACCTCAAAGTTGTTCGCTGAAGGATACATGCTAGGACCCGCCCGGAACAGCACATCACATCCTTCATCCGGGTGGCGACATCAAAAACGACTCTTTGTTCCAAGATATTCCAAGTCTTTTGCCCAGAAGTGCTCAAAACTGAGACAGTGAAAGGCACAGTTCTGTGCGCCCTTCCCCAAGCCAGGAGAAACTTCCAACCACTTCCAGAAGCTTTGGGGGGACCACAATGAACACCAGCAACTGCGGAGGAAGAAACACAACCCTTAGATTCAGTCTGGGAAATCTCTGGAATCTCTCCCGTCTGCGCAGTTCTAACACTTTGGTTCTACCGACGCCACATGGCCAAGGCGTCTCTCCACGGTGCTGGGTGGCCCATGGCACCATCCCAGGCACCCTCGCCCGCACGCTAACTTTGCACAAATCCCGTTGTGAACGCATGCGAAACCGTACTGCACCGACAGATCAGGTCGCGAAAACCACCCACCTGTGGCGAAAAACGTGTTTTTTTGATCGGAAAACCGTACTGCACCTGTTTCTGCCCGAAGAAGTCTCTTCAAATCCTGCTGGTGGATAAACACTTTGTCCTTCCAACCATTGACCTGTGAACATGGAAACAACTCTTGCAAATTGAAACTGCCGCGGTGCCACTGCCGCACTGCAAACAAATCATCTGGGAAATCCCTATGTCTAGTACACCCCGGCCGAACTCACATGCCTGAAACAACTCCCTGAAGGTCAATGTCCGAACAAAGTGCCGCTCTTTGGATCAGTCAAGAAGAGGGCACTTAACAAATGTATGTCAGCTAGTTATTAGGTACACAAACATCGCCCGCCCGTGCGTAGCTTCTTGCGACTCAAAGGGAGGGAAATCCTTGAGGTCGACCACTGGTTTTCCGTCACAGTCACCCAGAAAAAACATGACGAGGGACAAACATTCGCCCACCCAAAACCCAGCGAAAACGCGCCTCCTTATGCGCGGATCGGTGTGGAAGGCGGTCGGATTGCTATCTTCAATTTGGCCTCGGGGACGTGATCAAGGTGAGACACTTGGAGGCAATTGAGGGGGCTTGATCACGCCGTATCCTCCAATATTATTGTTATAGTTATAATGAACGTTGTTTATGACTAAAGTCCCCATGACGAGTCTTGGTCAAGAGTGCTTGTGCTTTTTGCTCCAATTTCACCTCTTCAATGTCCCGCATGCATTTTTTCAACCGCAAAATTGATTTTCTTGTCTTAAGTCTTAAGACTGAACAAGGTTGCCCAGCCTAGGAAACAAAAACCATCAAATGAACGGTCTACAGCAAGCAAGAGCAAGCAAGTGAAGAGCACACGTGCACTCCTCCTTTTCCTTTTACACCTTCATTTGGTGTATCCCAGGTTATTGTACTGCTCTTGTAAGAGGAAATCAATTCCCAAGTGCCTTTGTTCGACGGAAATCGTCGCGTTCGTTGATCTATCCCCAACCCTTTTCACCGAGCCTGGCCACGGCTGGCGAAGAACCGGCGATGAGTGAACCTTTGTTCCGTTCGTAGCGTCCTTGCTCCGTTCGTAGCGATGCCAGGAGCGCCCCAATCCGTTCGCGTCCTTAAACCCACGCGATCATTTCAACATCGTCTCGCCAGGTGCGATGCCAAATCGATGGGCCGTGACTTGTGAGACCGATCCTTGACACGTTTTTCGCACTCGCGACCCTTTGCTAAGTTGCTGCGCCAGCGCAGCTTTGACCTCCATTCCCATGTGGATAGGCTTCCCAAGCTTTTCCCAATGGCCGACAGCATTGGCTGGCGCATTTGCTCCGGAAGCAGTTGGCCATCTGACGATGGAAAACTTTTGGTGCGACCGGGGTTGCTAAGCAACTCAGCAGCCAAAACAAAATGGCACAAAGCTGGTGTCATTCCATTACTTGACAGAGTGCCCTGTCATTGTGGCGAAATCGGCATGGGCGGACAGTACACCTGAGCTCAGCAGAAACCTTGGCCTGCAGGAATTTTTATGGCGCTTCAAGAGGGCAAGGGGATCATAGTAGATTGCGCTGCCTCTCCGCCCCAGGCCTTGGAATTCGACCACACTACGACCATTGCCACGTGCTTTGAGCTGCCGACTGCGGGCTGTTGTATTCTTCGGATCGAAGGATCCACCGGTGTTCTAAGCTGGCAGCTAGCAGCTTCAAATCAAACTTAACATCCGGATCTGGTTGACCTTTTTGAAGTCCTTCGACACGGACAATCTTGTCTATGATATTTCTATGCCTGTCTTCAAGCGACCGGCTTCTGAACCCCCCCAAAGACGAAGGCCTCGGCCATGACCATGGGCCCCTTCCGTTCAGCCATTGCTTCACCGTCTTTGACGCCTGGCGTGGACGGGAAGGGAAAACGACCAAGTAACCAGTAGTAAGCATTGCGGACAATGGGCCGAAACATCACACACTCACATGCAAACCTCTATGCAAAGTTTACGAATTTAGAGCAATCTATTGCAAACAACTCCCATATATATATATATATATATTTCCTACATATCCTTATTGTACCAGGGAGTTCTTCATCCACTGCACCGGCCAGGCCATCTGTGACTCTGCATTCGAGAAGGGTTGGTTGACAAGTCGAACGAGTAAACATGGGACACAGCTCAGGAGTTGCTGGCAGGTTGGTTGGTTTGTGGTTTTGTTGCCAATTGGCTTGCTTGGTAGTCGCAAGCAGTTCGATCTGTACAAACCGCACACTAAATGAACGTCTTTTTTAGGGCTGAACAAAAATCGAACATAGAACTCAAACAGAACACCCTGCAAAAACAGTTTCAATAAATCTTGCAATTTTGGCGAGATGTTGGGAGAAAAACAAACATCTCAAATCCCAACATCGAAGTCACCCTCCTATCACCAAGTCCGTGCTTGCAATACCAATCCCGCGCGCATCCGCTCTGAACGCCCACCGCGCCGATGAGCGCGTAGCCCTGTCGAAAGCCCAAGCGGTTTTCCAGCGTGGAGCCCACCGACTGCAGCGCGTGAAGGCCCTGCGAGGAGAACCGGTCGAGAAGCCTCGGGGCCCAGGAAGGCCACAAGCCCTACGAGTCCCTACGAGTTACATGACACCAGTGCCCAACATCTAGCAACCATCCCAAGTATCGAGAAGAAAACCCAATATTTCAGTATGGCTGTAGATCTAGTCTCAATGTTTGTGCCCGAAAACATGAAACTTAAATCAGTGGACTTGGTGGTAGGGCAGTGGGCCAGCCCTTCTCAGTTGGCACGACCCAACACTGCTCAGACCTGCGGATGTGCGCCGTTATGTGCAGACTGTAGACTTATCTTGGCTCAACTCCACACTGATGTGCAGGCTTTGGAGCGTACGTAAACTTTGAGGTTGACTCAAGGATATGAACTGACTCAGTGGTGGATTGCCTGACAACGCCTCACGCTCAAACATGACCGGTGACAGACCGCGCACACAAAACGCGCCTCCCCATCAAGGTTCTCCATGCCCGAATCTTTCAACGCGATCAGCACCACGTTGTCCTACCCAGAGGAAAAAACGACGGGTCATTGTTGATCTATATCTATACCGGATTTTTACACTCAGCGTGTTGCTTCGCAATGCGGGCCCCAGAAGACCGGCATCCAGTCCTCTTCAATTGCGCGGAAGTCTTTGGCCAAGCGCCTGTTCTCTTCCATTGGATTGCCCCAAATGTCCTGAGTTAACTCGACCATGGGCCACGGCTTAAAAACGTTGACACTGGCAAAACAACATATAGGCAGTTGAAGCCCTGGTGGAGGAAGCATCTTTGGTTCCACGGTGACCGACGAAGGCACCTTCTGCAGGTGCCAGTCTCTAGGCGATGAAAAAAATCCTATAGGGGTGCCACCTCTGTGTTGCGTCTCTTGAGTTCAACACTGTTGTTTAAACCAAACCTGCCCGTTTGCCTTTGCACCTAAAGAGTTTAACCGACTCAAAGCAATGAAAAGCGTCATTTTGTTGACAGAATCTTGAAGTCATGCTCGAAACTCGTATTCCACCCCTCGTAAAGAAAGCCCTTCTTCTCT